TCTTTACACCCGGCAAGGCGTTGACGATGCGACCGGTGCTGCGGCTACGACAACTCGTGAAGTTCAACTTTTACAAGTCCCCGTGTCGCCCCTCTCCTACGCGGCAAGGTTCCAAGAACGTTCACATTCCGACCACCCCGCTTCCAGTGCAAGCGTTTACCCTTACCCCCCCCACGGTACTCCACCTCTATTTATTGATACCTCCACAATCCAGTGCACTCCGAAATACCACTGCAACAGCAATGGCATTAGGAATTTGGTGAGCCCACTTGGGCAACATTAGTATTAGGTCCAGGCCTAATATATCCTATTTGACACTGATCGTCTTTACAGTCTCCAATTTGCCAGCTACCCGGCAGTACCACTCTACGCTTTCTGACAACATGGTTTCTACCCGTGCTACCCGCAAAGACATCTATCGTGCCTTCGTTGCTTCTGTCGACCAACATCACGTTGACTTGACCGATGCTGACATGGACATCCAGCTCGACTTGGACAACGTTCCCAGCAACGGCGACATTAGCGATGACGTCGAAATGGACGCTGACGCACCGCTCGCTGTGCCGCCTGCGAATAGTGTTCAACGCTCCCCTCGACCTGTTTCGTTCAAGGCGCGTGTTTCGCTGCACCCTGTGTCCTCTGCTCATGCAGCCAACCCCTGTTCCTTCTCTCCGGTTCCTCAAGTACCGTCGACATCTGCGCGCGGCCAGAAGAATCCGACGAAAATTTGTCGCGTCCAACTAGCACTGCTCCTCACTCCATCTTGCCCGAAGAATTCGCGAACTCTCTCGAAGACGCTGAAAGCTCGACTGTGAGTGATGGTCTTCGCCCTCGTTCCAAATCCGACTTGCCCGACGACCCAAAGAATTATCTCGAAGGTTCTGGAAGCTTGTTCGTGAGTGATGGTCGTGGACGAACTGCAGTGGATTTCCTGCCCGAAAATTTCGACACTGATCTGGTAAGCACAGACATGTCTCACGTCGTGCCCGGGCGAGCTACGAACAACTTGAATCAATCCGTGGTTTTGGGTGCTGGTCTCGTCCAGCAGCCCACTATCAGCTCCCAACGTCATGTGCCAACTTTCTGCCAAGACGGTGACTCTGCTGTCGGTCCTCGTGCTGCATCGAAGGCTGTTCTTGCAGAGGATGTGTGGGCATTCCAAGCTCAACAGCGAGCCAAGACTTCCAAGACAAAGTTGAAGGACATTGGCGATCACCGACCAAGTTTGGACGAACTGGCCCCGCTCCTGGAAAAGCATGCTGCCGGTCAACTGACCTTCAACGACTTGTTGCCAATTCAAAAGCATTCTGCTCGCGAAGTCGTTGGATGGCTGCACATGGTTGCGGGGGCCCTCACCAAGGACATCGATCTGGACACGGCAATGGCTTCGCTTCTTTTCGGCAACCGCGATCTCGGCCTCGACACTTCCTTGGCCGACATTGTAAAGTGCGAAAAGGACATGCCGAATCGCGTTATCAAGTGGGGAATTGCGTCCAAAGCGGCCCTGAACAAGTTGCGTGGTGTTACCATGCATATCCAAGTCGCCCGCAATGGAACGAAACAAGGATTCTCTATGACATCCCCACATGTGCTCGACGGCTTCTTCCTGGACATCCCCCAAGGACTTCAAGGTGTCGCTGAAGAGCGGTTGTTGTTTGACGTCATGGCTCGCCTGGAGCCGCACTTCCTCTGGGGGACGTATACCAGTGGTGTCTGCCACTACTGGTCGTGCTAGTTCCTGCTACCGTCTGCACTTTCTTGGCAACACCGTCCCGTCAAGCCTGCACCGTGATGGCCCCATGGTTGAAGAATTTATCTTTCTCGACCGCCGACTCCGCGTGTATGGTCAAGGGTGGTTCTTTCGTGACAAGCAATTGGTTCGCATCGACCTCGACAAAGTCGCTTTGACGCATGGGCTGTACGGGAACACTGCGTCGCGTCAAGATCACCGTGATACCTCAATGGACCCCAAGCCGATGAAGAAGGCGAAGGTCTCGCATGTGTCGGAGTCTCAATGGACTACTGTCAAGCCAGTCCGTTCCAAGGCCAACCTCTCTCTGATGGACGAAGCCCTCACCGAATCGTCCTTGGGTCTCAGACAACATGTTTGCTGCCCTGGACGAACGCATCTCCGTCGCCCCTGTTCCTTGTGACTTCTCTCACGGACAAACGACTGTGACAGTGTACACTCCCAAGACCACCGTTCATGAGGTCGACTGTGTGTTCAAGACATCTGGCGAATTTACAAGCGGTACGAAGATCGAGAGCAGTCGCCCGGTCCGAGTTGAATGCTCCCTCGATGCCATCCTGGCAGAGCTGGCGGTCCTTGACGCCAAATCAATCGAAGCTGCAAACCAACTTCCAGCTCAACTGAACGAAGCATGCTCGAAACCCTCGTTCAACTTGGCTTCCCTTGTAGCCGACGGACGTGTCGACTCGATCTGCAGCTGCCTTGAGCGCTATCCGGTCGCCTTTGGGATTCAAGTGCATCAACTATTCAAGGAAGATCGTCCAATGTTCGAGTACTTTGTGCGACAACGACTGCTGCATCGTTGGTTCCGCGCCACGTGGGGCGGATCCATGTCGTTCGACCAGCTCTACAAGGCATCCTTTGGTCAGCCCATACCCAGCAGCCACACTACCGCACTCTTCAGCAATACTGACTTTGCTGCCGCGACCAAGCCGATGGCAATCACAGATGCTAATGGCGACGACCGTGAGCTTCACTGGACTGACGTTGAAGCTGTTTTGGCATTGACTGAGGTGCTTTTAGCCTCGCGTGCAACCATATATTTTACAAGTGACGCTGCTATCAGCGCCTCCACCTAGTGCCCCGTTACAGCGATTGCTTCCCACAAGGGTTCCCGATGCCTCTCGTCCGAAACCATTGGTGCCTTGCTCATGGACACTGATCTCGGCGCCATGCTCTGGGAAAGCTTGGAAGACATGTATTCCGGTGATAGCGACGACGACATCGGTATGCGCCTCACGTTCTCCACCATTCTGGAGTTCCATGAGCAAGGTTGCTTTGACGTCACTGCCACCAACCAAATCGTGTTCGACCCTGATACCAAGTGCCTCACCTTTGGCGATGTGACGACCCAGGCTGTGCCACCGCAGTCTGGCTGAAGTGATTGCTGATGGTCTTTTTAACACAACGCCCGTTCTCGAACTGACCACATGCAATCTCAATGGGCTGAACGCAAACGGACACCTGGTGGCACAGCGACTCAACTCACCAACCCAATGCGTTCTCTTTCAAGAAGCCAAACTCAACAACAGCAAACATCTCGACACGTTCAAGTTCCATCTTTCCAACGAAGTTGGTGCTGATGCGTACAAGCTCTTCACCAACGACCACCGGGCTCTGCGCTCGGATTCACTCAACCACCGAAGCTGTGGTGTTGCCTCGTACTTCCACTCATCAATGCCTGGCTTCGATGGCCTCCAACATCTCATCCAACTTGACCTCCCTGACCGATACCTGGTGGTTCGAACCTATTGCCATGACAAACCAGTGCACTTCCACAATGTGCACGCCCCTGTGCTACCCCATCTCCGCTGAAGCTTCTTCAAAGCTCTGCCTCGTGATTTCGAACTCGACAGTGTCCATCTTGCGGGAGGAGACTTCAACCTGCCCTTTGACGCCGCTCTCGTGCCGATGGCAACACGGGGTAGGCCGAATGCTTTGCTTGGTTAACTGCGCTGCGTGTTGTGGATCCATGGCGAATTCACCACCCCCGCGAACGCGTGTACAGTGGCCCTGGACGATGCAGCAGGCTTGACTACATCTTCGTCGATCAAGACCTCATGTCAAGATACTACAAGAACGCCAAGTATTCCAGAAACGTTTTCGGCGGCGATCACCTCCAGCATCGGCTCACCCTCTCGAATGGTACACATGATCAATGCCGCGGACAATGGTGACTGCCAAAGGAACTTCTGTCCAATCCGAACATTGTCAATGCAATCAAGGTGGAGGCTAATCGCCTTCTCGACGCAATGTGTGTTGACGACAACCTGAACCACGGGGCAATGTGGTATGGGTGGCTGAAGCGAATGAAGAAGCGCCTGCAAACGTGCCACCGGCATCACCTGCAACATTGGAAGGACACCCTCCACCAACTTAAGCTCGCGTGGCTCGCTGCCCGACAAAGCGCTGCAGACGACGAGGACGTGGTCGGTCGTATCACAGCAGCACGTGCGGCATATGACACGACCAAGTTTGAATACGAGCTGCTTCTCATGGATCAACAGTTCGATTTCCACGCCAACGTCAATGAGCGTGGCACATCACACTTCTTCCGAAGGCCGCGTGGCTATAAGGTGCCCATTTGTACGGCAACTATTGATGGCGTCACTGTGACAGACAAGGCCGCAGTCCAAGCTGCGTTTGGACCATTGGAAGTCTATCATGCCGAGGCCAATCAATGGATCACGACAAATCAACCGTACCCAGCGCCGAGCTGTGCTTCGTGCCATCACAAAAAGGTTGACACCGGATCAGCGCGAGGAATTGGACAAGCCGATCACTGACACCGAACTGTGCGCCTCGCTCAAGACTATGAAGCCCAACAAGTCGCCAGGTCCTGACGGTTGGCCTGCTTGCTTCTTTCAAGTCGCACCCGATGTGTTCTCGAAGATCTTAGTCAAGGTTTTCAACTACCAACTCACCAAGCATGGGAAGCTGCTGCACCAACAGCGACGAAGTGCCGTGGCGCTTCTATTCAAAGACGATGATCGCGGCAATCCTGGTAATTATCGACCTATCGCTCTCATGTCCGTGGAAGTCAAGATTCTCTCGCGTGCACTTGCATATCGTCTGGCTTCAGTGGCACCTCAACTCGTCCATCCAAGTCAAGCGGGGTTTGTTCCTGGTCGACGTCTTCACGCTCACGTTATGCTGGTCCAAGCT